TGCTGGTTTGGGAAGTTTGGAAAAGTAAGAAATATACTCTAAGCAAGAGCTTCACTCAGATAACGTCTGATACAATTCATTACCATCATCACAAAAATCATGACACCCATTGAATCACTCATCCATCACATCATATGTGTGTGCAGCTACACGATCAATTGAAAAGCTATAATTACTAATTAAAGGCTTCTCCAATCAGAAAGGTTATTCAGGGAAATATTATTACATACTCTTAAAGGTTACAAGTGTAAAGAACGGATGGAGACCACAGACCTTGTCCCTTCCTGCAACTCCAAACTGATCATAATCCAACAAGGCTTTGCATTTTCAGCTTCATTGGTTTTGTGTTTTGTCATGTGTGACAAGATGTGCTATGACACAAGTATGACAGGGACTACTGCAGCAGACCACTCAACTCCATCAGAGTTTTGAAAAGAAAAAAAAAAAAAAAAGGCCAAATCCATTTGTACAAGAAAAATAAAGCAGGTAAAGAATTTTTTATCCAGATGCAGTCACTGCTCTAAATCAAGACTAATTACTGCAATGTACTATAGCATTTTTTGTCTTCATAGTCATAATTATCTTCAACTGAAAGAGTTCGATTTATTGTATGAATGTTGTTTTATTTATTGCTTATTTTCATAGTGTGTACTATTTTAGAGGCACCTACAGAAGTAGCACATCTATTCGATGTATTTTATAATTCAACAAGGAATTCCAATTCTAAACGTTTTAACTTAAGAAATATATGTTAAAATGGATTTTTATGCTTTGTTGTTTTCCCTGCCTACTGAGCAATGAACTTAAGACAGAACCTGTTGTAAATAGCAAACTTTTTGCGATGAATATGGTCTTAGGTCAAGTTGATCAAATGTGTAGCAACAGTGATAAACGCTGCTCAAGATAAATAAAAAAATAAAAAAAATCATAGCTGGTCACATTTTGGTTCTGTATTGTTTCCTTTGGTGTTTTAAGAACTATTATTTTTTCTATGAATGTATCTGTGTGAAAGCAGACCCTTCAGACACCCAAACTACAGACCCTTTCTCTCTTTTTTTCATTTTAACAATGCCATGCACTGACTTCCAGCAGTACAGAAAAACTTCTTTAAAGCATTTTGGCTCTAACACAGAACTTTCATCTCTTTCCAAAACAAAAATAAAAGAATTATCAATACACGAAGCAATACTACTGTTCAGCGTACAGACACTAGACTATTTCGCCTGCTTTTGAGAGTGTTTGTGAAACATTATGCGGTTTAATTTGCTTGGTAGTGCACTATGCATTTTTCGGAGCAGTGCTAAAATTCCAAAGAAAAAATGGGATACGAATGACCACCTTTTTGGATTGGTGTATCTGAGAGCAAAAATGCTAAATTGCTGTTCCATGTACTGTATCACCAATAATGAAAACTAATGGGACATAGATTGGAAAACCTATCTGATTTCATTTACTATCCAAAGGAAACCCCATCCATTCCATCACTGTTCTGCAACTATGAAGAGGTTCAACGTCCATGAACCATGCTTTCAGCTTTGCAATAACATGCTCTTTCCTTTGGTTGTTAGGTTACATGAAAGAGGTTACATCTTTCTGAAAGGTGCAGATGCTTATTGAGGGGACAGCTAGAAATGCAATTTGTTATATATACACTGATGTAAAAGAAATTCTGCATACCAAGTAGGAACAAAGAAAATTTTTTTGTCTTCTAATTTAGGAGTACCAATATAATTAATATGATTAGAAACCACAGCGAGAGATCCCTGAGAGTACTTTGATGGTGGGAAGGGGCAATCCTCAACAAGCTCCTCCTTACACAAAGGTAAAAGCCATATGAGTTCAACGTTCCATTTCTGAGTCGGCTCATGTTGCAGCAAATGAATTGTGCAGAATATCATCACATTAAGTGACACCACAGTTCAACAGGTCATAATTGACTGCTGCCATCACAATCACCCTGAGGAAAAACTGGTGAAAAATTATGTCTCAGCCTGCATCGCTGTCTGATCTCTATCCCACTGAGACACTGTGTGGCACAGAACAAAAGCTGGAGATATGACTCCGAACCATCAGCTTTTGCCAGAATTGTGCCAGTGATCACACAGCTCCACACATTCAGAGGCTCCATGAGGCATTAAGCAGTGGCTACCACCAGTGATCAACCAGGTTTCCGATGGGCTGCTGGGTAGCTACTGTAAATTGAGTTCATGTTTTCAAGAAACTTACTGTTTTGATCTCTTGAGTTGTTTTGTGTGTTTGTGCAAGTGTGTAGAGTAGACTTCCTTTGCCATCAGTATATAGCTTAAATTTCATGCTCCCATCTTTCTCCCTCTTTTACCTATTTATATCTTTCAAAATGTGAGAAAGACATGATATTGTTATCTTGTCATAACCAGACTATTTTAATCTCGACATTTGTTGTTTTCACCTTTGTGTTTTTTAGTCTGTTGAGTAATTTTGAAAAATTTTAATTTTGACAATCCAGTCAAGTTGGGCCAGAGCCCAAAGTTCACAAAATTATTAATTATTGTTGTTAATGTGTATAAAATTGTAAAGAAATATGGTTTGTACATGTTTGAAAGAGCAAAAAAAAGAGTGTAGGGATTTAAATTTTTAAGTTAAATGTGGGATAACATGGCCTAAGTAAGGCTATTTAACACTATGAATGTACCAGGTTTAAAAAAATAAATTTAAAAAAAAAAAAAAAAAAAAAAAAAAAAAAGATGTACACCTCTTTCATTCCCAGTGTGTGTGTGTGTGTGTGCGTGTGCGTGCATTGTGAAGTATTTTTTCTTCATTTGCAGCAGTGTGAAGACTTTTCTCAGAGGAATGGAGCCTTTTGCTGACAGTGGCCAGCTGACACTTCAAAATCTTCATGAATCCTTCAGTCCCCTCCTCCTCTTCCTCCTCCATACCAGCTGCAGCGTCTCTATTGATTCCAAATCCTATCCAACTTAAGGCTGGTGTGTCTGTGAAATGACTGATCCAAGAGTGTGTGCTTGTGGTTGTTTGTGTGTTGACGACTGAAGGCATTGGAAGTTGGAAAAATAAAGTTTTCCTTGAAATACCCAAAACGTTGCGTGACAGTGAGACAGAGAGGTTTTCAACTTGTGCATGTGTATTTAACACAAAGGGTAGATTATGCTCCAATGTTGACTGCCCACAAAATAAACCAGGAAGATGCTGCATGTTGGAGGAATCAGACCAATGTCTGAAAGCAAAATGCATCCTTATGGCAGGGTTGCTGGAATATTAGGGCACTTCTTTGAACAGACGATCAACTTTGAGAAAATTATACCATCTGGGCACTTGAGACATCATTATGAGGACTTCACAAAGCCAGTGTACTTGGTGGCATTGTGGAGCAGTGTGTGATTGATGGTTTAATGTGGTTTGGTGTGCAGGTGATTTAGTTTAATACATGTAAACCCAGGAATACCAAAAACCGGAATGTTTAATGTTATCTACGGTCAAACCAGCAGCAGGACAGCTGCAGCAGGTCTATACAGTGTTTGAACTGCGGTCTTGAAAAGAGGTCTGCTTTTTTACAGGAGTGGAAAACATGCATGTAATTTTAGATGAGTGTATCCTAACTTGTTAAATAGAAAAAAATCAACCCTTACATTCCACCATCATATGTTGGCTGCAGTTGATTTGAGAAGAAGAACTTGTATAACTAGCGCTAAATTATTTCAGAAACCAAAACCTTTCATTACTTTGATTTAGTTTTGAACAAGTATTTTTTATCCATTTAAAATTTCTTTCTGTCTGTCTAAGACTTAACCTTGTTCAGAAAAAGTTCTGCATAAATAAAGTTTCTCATTATTATTCAATACTGAAAAAAACCTACTGAAAAAAGAAAGCCTCATATCAATTTTCATAAAAACAAGCTTTTGGGCAAAGACCTAAAGGAATGTCATATATAGTGTGGAATAAAATATATGCAATGTAGTGTTTAATTTATGTCGCAATGCACCATATTACTGTTATAAGTTGACGTCGGTCTTGTTGAATGCTGATTTTGGTAAGATGACTTATTGACCATTGCACTTGTCTTCTAACTGAATATAAAGAACTAAAGATGTTTTATACACTAGCAAAATGTTGGAATAAATTAAAACAGAAATATATACTGATTTTGTGACTTTAAACTGACATTGGAGCCAAAATTTCACATGAATCCCTTGCATAGTTTTAAAATTGAGTATGCATTTTTTCTTTATATTCCCTTATATGTAACCATCAATCAATTACAGAATCATATATTGTGATTCTAAAAAATAAATCTCATAACAACGTCATTATACTGCATGGCCAGACATCTATAATGGAAACTTTCAGTTTCTGATGCTACAACTTGTTATAGTTGAATTTTAGAGAGTATAATGAAAACAGAATGCACGAAAATGCTTAAATTATTAAATAATGAGTAATGCTGTGAATATGGGAGCACCATGCTAGAGCTAAGCATTACTGTACGTTTTATGTGCTGTTTCGTCCATCAATTTAACATAGTATTTCTTAAGGAGCCCTTTGCATCACAATAGATATTTTGTTTGTAGAAATAGAGATCATCCCAACAATAACTTGGTTCCAGCTTGCATTCATAGTTTTACATTTGCAAAAGGTTTAGACAAAGATCAAAGCATTGTTTGAACACAGTCACCAAGCGCAGCTGTGTGTTGCTCATTTAGGGATTTTTGTTATGACACGGATTTTATATGCATGTGCTTCGGTAAGACTGGCATTCTGACTTGTCAAGATTGTTTCATGAGAACATCTGTGCTACTGCAACTGAACAGGGGAATTATAAAAGTGAAAATACTTACCCACTGCTGACCCCTGCTATGAACCAGGGAATAAGTAAAAATGTGTGTGTGCGCGCACATTGCGAATTCTACTGATTCAAAAGGGGAAGGTAAAGCTGTAATTCCAAAACAGGCACTTTGTGCATGATGTGTAAACTGCTTGAATGTGTGTGAGTATAGAATGATACATACACGCTGTGTGTAAGTTTGATGCTGGTGTGGAGGTAGCCTGAGCTTCTGTGAGACTGGGGTCACAGATGACAGGAGATGCAGCCGCCTCCTGCTCACCATCATCCTCCTTTTTCTCCTCCTCACCTCGCAGCTCAGCTTTTTCTGCTAGCCTCTTTGATGTCCGACTTGACCTTTGAGCCTATGATTGAAATGTTTACATAGGGTGAAAAAATATGATTTTTCAGTTGCTGAAACTAACTACCTGAAACTATAGAAATGAGCCCAAGATGAAAATCTTATTACCCACACACCTCAATACTCTTCTCAGTCTGCAAGCTAATTTTTCTTACCTTTGCAGCAGGTCTTGACATGGAAGCTTTTCTCTGTGCCCGTCCTTTGGATTTGGGCACCTTAGGGCCAGAGAGTGTCTTCATAGTGAAAGCAGCATGCTGAAGGATGCAGTCATTACCACAGTAAACAGAATCTGGTAGTGCTTGTTTAGAGCAACCAGGTCCGATGCACAAGGGAAGAGAGCTATCCATCTCAGGCTCAGGTTGAGCTTCAGGTTGAGCATCAGGGTCTGGCCTTGCTTCAATAGCCTGCTCTTGCTCCTCCTCCTCTGTTTCCTCCTCTACCAGCACAGTCTGCTGAAAACAGATGTTCATCTTAAATTCTGAGAGCAAACTTTCTTCATGAAGATTATCTATCACACGTATGTGGTCACACAGGAATGAAAGAAAATGCTAAAGGTTTTGTAAATGAAGGCGATGGGCAGTGTAAAGATTGATGACAACCCAAATTAAATTCAAACCTTAACTGCTCGCTGGTCCTCTTGTGCTTCTTCAACAGCAGGACTTTGTGTCAAGCATTCAGGAAAGCTAAGCTCAGGGTCTGGCTGAGGGTGAGACTCAGACTGGCTTTGTTTCTTTATAGTGCAAGGCGGGCAGACGTACTCTTGCATACTCTGATGGCCTTGTGTCTCACTGACACCGACGCATTCACCGTGGAACCACTCCTGGCAGCTGTCACAGCAGATCATAAACCTTTAAAAAGCAGTGAATAGATAATAGGAAGTGAAAAATGGTACACAGCTGAACTATGCAAATCGTCCGAAAGAACAGCTCAGCCTAAGAAATCCAGTTACTACATATAAACATGTACCTCTTATCTTGTTTCTGTCTGCAGATGCAGAACAGAGCATTTGAGTCATATCCTTCATTGTGTGATATCCTTGAAAACTCTTCTGTATTTTTAGCATCTTTCTTCTCCTCCTCCTCTGGCACTTCATCAAACTGACCGGGAGTTAGCTCAGGAATCTGATCAAAGTCACTGTCTATGATCATGCAGTCTGAGTTTGATTGCTGAGCAGGACTTAGGGCTGTATCAAAGAGAGCAGCCGAACCCTCTTTTTCAGGAGGACTTTGTGGATCAGTTTCTTTTTCCACTTCTTGTAAATGCTGTTGCTCAGTTAAATTAACCAGCACCACATCATCATCACTGTCCTTATCATCTGCAATGGTTGACTGAAACTCCACAGCCCTCCCCTTTCCTCTACCCCTCCCTCTACCTTTGCCCCTACCTCTTCCTCTACCTCTCCCCTTTCCTCTGGCCTTTCCCTTTCCTCCTTTCCCTCCTCTAGCTTTGGAGTCTTCCTGTCTGCTATTAGAAGCCAGCTGTTCCTTAATCTGTAACAAAGTCATTTCATCACTATCCTCTTCATGACTTGAGATTAAAACCACATCATGGATCTCTTCTCCCTCTGCATTGCCAGAAGCAACTGGCTGTGCAATCTCCATGTCATCAATGTTATCAGCCATCTCAGTTTCATCTATAGCCTGTGGATTAGGAGACTCAATGGCTTCAGTGGCTTCTAAAATGTCAGGAACCGCCAGTTCATCTGACATTGTTAGTGACAGGCCCTCACTGCCCCCAAGCAGTGTGAAGGCAGTGTGGAAAGCAGACCCAAAATCCTGCCATAAGCTGGGATCAAGGCTGCCTCCTGCGGAAGTTTCTGAACCAGTTTTGCTATTCTCAGAGACAGGTGAGGATGGGGCAGACCACTGAAGTTCATCAATAACACTCCTTGCTGTACGAGTAGCTTTCTGGGTGGTGGGGGTCTCTGTAGCGGTCTGGGCTGCTGTTTGATTGGTCCGACGATTTCTGCCTCGTCGAACAATTGGAGGACTGTAGGTTAGGTCTCCAACCTCCTCCATGAACTCCCTTCTTGCAATGGTTGTTCGTCGAAACCCCCAAGACTTTCTAACCTGTGACAAGGTCGGCCTAACACTTGACTCGGCCTCTTCTGAGGGCATCTGCCGTTCGTCTGCAGATAAACAGAAAGAAATTGATTTAACAAAAGCAACACCCACGTTTCACCTTTAGGCAACTGGCAGGCTGATTGTACCTGAATTATTATTATCATCAGCAACACTGCTGTTGTCCATCATGTCCATGCTGACATTTAAAGGAAGCCACGCTGTTCAAACCTACAAGATCCTTTTAGTTAGTGTCTGTAAACTATGTTCACAATTCACTAAGTTAAACAAGAAATAAAACAGAAAACACGTACCTGTGCAAACTGTATGCAGACAGCTGCAAACACCAAATGTGTTTAGGGTGTGTAAAGAGTCATCCCAATGTTTCTTGCTGTGAACCTGTAAAAATCATGGATGGAGAAAAAACCCAAACCAATCTACATTAGAGACAGGTGATTTAAAAAAATATACGCAAAAAACAATTTTGTTAAAAAGCTCAATTCCATTTGTTGCTTTGCAATGAAAGAGCACTGCAATAAACTCCACATCACATAGTTTATTCATTAGCACCACAAACAGTTTCAACACTGAGGATTTAAAAGGATTTCTGATAGCCTGTATTAACTTTAGCTCCTGGCCAGCTAATGGGCCTCTTTGACATGAACTCCTATTCAATACTCTGATTGCATCTTAATTTATGAAAGTGAGCAGTGGAAGCCTTACAAAGTCTCACCATGCAATGTTCATGTATAATTTTTAACACAAGTCTAAACCTCATGCAGTTGCCTTAAAAGAAAGGCAGTTACAAGATTGTGTTCATGCATCCATCTCCTTGAACTTCATGCATCTTGATTTGGAGCAACAACATGTGGGGAAAACCACTCTTCACCAATATTTGTCCACCTTGTAGTAACATTAAAATGCATGACATGTTGCTTAAACACAAATACTGTTTTTATGTGTATACACACTTCCAAGCTCACTTGCACAGTGGTCTCCATGACTGTTGTGGGTATGTCTGAACAAACCATGAGGGTCACCAATTTATGAATTGAAAAATGTTAGTCATGTAAAAGTTTTCCCATGACTCAATAAAAGACCTAATAGTGTATATAACTACCTTGTATTTAGTGGAAGTAATTTTCTGTATGACTTTATCAGTTTCTCACATCATTGTGGAGAAACTTTAGACCTCTCTTCTTTATAATGTTTAAGTTCACAGGTTTACAGGCATTATTTAATGTACTGATCTCCTAAAGAACCGCCACAGCATTTCAGTCAAACTGAGGTCTGGATTTTGACTGGGCCATTGCAACACCATGTTTCTGAATTTCTTTTAACCATTCTGTTGTAGGTTTGCTGGTGTGTTTGGGGTCCTTGTCCCAATGACCCAATGTCAGCCAACCTTTTGCTGACAAACAGAAGGCCTCAATTTTGAGTCCAGGTATGTGGTATATAGAAGAGTTCATGGTTGAGTCAATGACTGCAAGGTCCCCAGGTCCTATGGCTGCAAAACAACCCCAAATCCTCATCCCTCCAATGCTGTGATTCACAGTGGGTATGAGGAATTTGTGCTTACATGTCAGCATAGTCTTGGAGTTTGTTCTAATGCAATTTTGTAAACCTAAGCTTTGCTGCCATGACTTTTATAAAGAAAAGAGACTTTCTCTTGGCAACCCTTCCAAATAAGTCATTTCTTATTGTACTGTTATGAACATTTAACATATTGAGGCCTTTAGAGCATGAGATGTAGCTCTTTTTTTTTTCTTCAGGCATTGCTTGAGCATTTCTTTGAGTACGTCTTGATGTATGCTCAATCATCCAGAAAAAAAAGAAAGAAATGCTGACATTCAAAGGAAGCCACGCTGTTCAAACCCAGAAGAAATCCCAAACAGTTGTAGCGTTTTCAGTGGAAGATACGTTTCACTGAGTGAAGAAATGTTTTTCACATCCAGATGAACAGAATCAACATTTAGGATTTCTTTGAGCACTGACCTTAAAGTGATTTTGCATGGACATCCACTTCTGGTACTGTGTTAACATGATAATGATCAGTTAATCAAGTGTATGTTTTTTAGCACCACCTGGCTTCTCCTTACCCTCTTAATTTTTATGAAAACATTAAGGGAATACTTAGTTTTTCACAGGACTGTATAGAGTCCGCTTGCTTTTTCACATGACTGCATTTCATGCCTGAAATGAGCATTTGTTCACTGTACACTTAGTTACATGGATCTCTCCAACATCAGACACTTTCAAAACCCCTTTGAAAACCCTTTATTTCCTTTGGCTTTAAACCAGACTGAGTTACTTTTTTATCTGTCCTGCTTTCATCATGTTTTTTCCACTTTGTGTTTTCTTTTTTCAATCTCTTACCCATATCCCATAACCACATCATTTTCTGGAACTTTGGTCAGCAAGTGTTTTTAAAATGTGCTTAGAAATAAATCTGACTTCACAACTTACAGTCAGCCAATCAAATCATCCTATAGTTTAACTGTGAAACAACTGGATTTGATTTTTTAACAATGCCAACATTGGGCTTAATCCATCTGATGCGCAAAGATGTCAGTACATTTACTCAAGCACCGTACAAGTGCTTTCTTTGCACTGCATTTAAGTGTTTTCCACTTCTGAATTGGGTGTATGTGGAAAATGTACATGAAATAATGATATTTTACAATTCAGCTTAAATACAATTTGTAGCAAAATCTGTACTTTTTGCTCAAGTAGGTTTGTTGGAAGGTTACAGATACCTTTAAGCTAAGATAAGGTAAGATTAAACCACATAACACACAATCATGTTAACAATATCTTTGAATCATTTTCGGAGTTTTAAATAGAAACAAACTGCATATTAATAACTATATAATTTAACAAACTGTAGGATACAGTTATAAAAAGAGGGGTGAAATGTTGTTTAATGTGTATAATTTATCACGTTACCCTTTGTACTTTTGAGGATTTAACTTGTATTAAGTCTTCCCATACTGCCACAGTAAAGGAAAAGATGTTTGCACTTTTCACAGCACTGCACGTCTGTAAACACGTGCTGTGTCCCTGTTTTGCTTAGTAGACAAATTACTTTGTTGAGTTTAAAATTCAGCTCGGCTGTAGTCTGCATTAACAGTTTATGAGATGCAACTCGCAGAGACGTTTATGGTGATGAAAGTCACAGTTCATTTTCTCACTGTGGTTAATTTCTGAGCTCTACTTGCTGCTAATGTTACCCGGTGCAACCAGCTGCTGTGTTCACTGATGCTTCACATTGCAAAACTGGCCTGCTAGGAGCGATACGTTTATGCAAAAACTCAGCAAAGTGTGGCTGGGAAGTCCATAATGTTTCTGTACTCCAAATGAAACCACAGCACGTACTAATTTAACTGCCACACCTAATTCAGTTGTAAAACCGCAAACGAAACGTCCTTGCCCTGAAACCCCGCAAACACTCACAAGTTATTCCATAAAGGTAAAAGAGAGGCGTCTTCTATGTGGTGGCGACGACATTGTTCTCTGCAGCTAGCGTAGCTAAAGCTAAACTTAAGCTTCTAAATCACCTGTTAATAAATACTCTACGCAGCAGCGCTACGTCTCACTAGCGATACCGACTACGGAATTAAATGCTGAACGCCCGTATACAGACACGGAAATCATACCTTCGATGTAATTTATATATTTTCCAGCTATGGTTTGAGTCGCTCGGCAACCTAGCTAGCACTCACAGTACAGCCTTCCATTTTCTGGACCTTGTTGCAACATACTCTCGCGAGAAGTATTCGCATGGAGAGCGACGTGGTTTCTTCTTCGTCAGACCACGTGACTTTCGCGCATTGCTTTGTGGGTACCCGTGGCAACAAAATCAAAACACTGCATCAAGCGCTAGTATTTACAGCACCGGTAATCATTAATTCTGCGGTTTTAATCCCTACTTGCATTTTATTTGCCCCAAAACAGTTATGTACAAAACGACGGAGAACACGACAGGTCCGTACAAAGACAGACTTGACGAAAAGGCAAAAAAAAGGACAACGAAAAAAATCAAATGAGTGAAAGGTAGGGTTGCCAACCGTCCCTTAAAAAACGGAATCGTCCCGTATTTAGAAACAAAAGCACACGTCCCGTGTTGAGCTAATAAGGGACGCACTTTGTCCCGTAATACAGTGAGAATCAAAAGTAGTCTATAAATGTTAATGGAATTAACGCTTTGTTTGAAAGCATAACTCCCAGCCCCTCTCCTGCTTTGTGACCAATGAGCTGACAGCACACTTATGACAATTCAGATTACCGCTCATCTCATTGGTCGAGGAAAGGTCGCTTGCGGAGAAAATACCGGAAGACAACAGATGACCACAACAAGAAGCATGGCCAACAGGGAAACAAACGCCGACACTGCGGTCTCGGACGACAGTACACCTAAAGCTGGGCAGACACTGTGTGATTTTTTCAGTCGCGTTATTCAGCTCCTGCTCAAACTGCACGATTGACTCGCAGGGGTTAGAAGTTGGTAGGTCACGATGCAGGTCTCACACTATACCGCCCGATGCTCTGATGCGACCTGAGTGCTCACACTGTGCCTCCATAACATGAAGGTTATAACAGAAAATCTGTCGCTCTGTCTTTCACTCACACAGACACACAAACCACCACCATCAACTTTGCTAAATTGCTAATGAAAAACATTGATCAGGCAGCTGTGAATGAGCAGCAGTGTAAATCCAACTATTTTCACGGTTGTTGTGGTCGTGATAATTTTGTGATGCCACATCGAAAAGGCTCGGATGAGCTTTCCGAAGTTCTACAAGTTGTGCCTCCATCGCTTGTGTCCAGATCACACGCTGCACAGCCGTGCTGCTCCGTCTTTTTCACCGACGTTTACGTGTTTGCGCGTGAGCAGTGTGAGCGGCTCACGAGCGATTGATGATCGGGAGCTGCTCGAGGTGTTAATCGCTTCTCGTTACCCCACGTATACTACACGATGCACGATGAAGGCCAAAATTGGGCCGATCACCAAATCGGTCGCACGACTCAAAAATCGTCTCAAAATGGGCCAGAAGCCCAGCATTAGAGCAGCAATGTTTGTTCGCTCAGAGAAAGAAAAAAAGGCTGCAAAAGCACAGGGAGGAATGGGAAAAGGGAAACACCTGGCTGGAAAAGGTCACCATAACACCTATAAAGCGCACTGCACTGTGTGCCGGCGCACTTTTTCCATAGGCATGCTTCTAATGGTGGGCACATGAAGAACATCAGGGGCGTGAAAGCTCAGGGAACCCTTAACCAATTTCTTGTCCACCAGGCCACGGCAGAAGCAGATATGGTATGTAAACACTGGTTTGTTTTTTAAACCCTCTGGTTAAGGTTAATATGGGCATGTGCAGTGAATATCAGCGCTATGTGGCCAGAAGTGTGATAATATAATTTATTTTGTGTAATAAACAACTGCAAGGATAGATGATTACAACAAATAGATGACTAATACATAAAAGTAATACATAGATGAATAATGATGATGAGTTATGATGCGTAATCATGGGAACAAGTGGGTTTACAAACAGGAGCAGCTGATTAGCATTAGAAAAGCTGAAATAATACCTCAACTGAAGCCAATTGTACTATATGCACTAAATGTGCACAGTTACAAGAATATTTTTCGTTCTATTGCTTTCTATTAATTTATATAATTTTAAGTTAAGCAGGACAGAGTTCTTTTAAAGAAAGATTTACTTTTATTCTCAAAAGTTAAGCATGACAGGCTTCTGTTTAAGAAAGAGACCTGTTTTACTGTGTTAATGTTGTCATTTTGAGCTAAAAATAAATGGCTAAATGATCATTTGTTTCCCATATGGTCATATCACAAAGAATATGTATCTGCTTAAATCAAATTCAAGTCAAATGGTTAAAAAATAATTTCACACACAAAAAAGAGCTACCACACTGGGAAGGGTGAAGACAACTAGGTTGCCCGGCCCTGGCCACGAGGTGTCCCTTATTTATTTTTCAGGGAGTTGGCAACCCTAGTGAAAGGGTTAGACGCATACGAGCATACAGAGTGGAGTAAGGACGTTAGCGTGCTGCCCGACTTTCATCACGCACATATTTATTATTATATGGTCCTAAGTTTTAGTGCATACACTCACAAAATGTTTAGTAACTTCAGATCCCTGCAACAAGCCCAGGTCCAGTTGACTTTGGTGATTTGGACTATTCCATTTCACAGGTGTTGTTAATTTCTTTCCCTTTATCTCATGTACAGGCCAACGCAATCTATTTATTGTTTCAGGTTGTAGTATTACACAACGTTTTCAGATCTAATAGAAAAAATTTTGAGTGTGTCGTAATTCATTCAATTTATTGTCTTTAATAACTGGCATTATTGTTTCTTTCTATTATAGAATCTTACAAGAAAGAGGCAAAATTGTATTCCATTGTGCTTTATTAGCTGCTTTGGTAAAATAACAAATCAACAATGCAAAAAAACCCATTGCAAAACAACATACTGGAAAACAGTTATTCATCACTTGATTGCTTCAATACAACACCTGGGCACATATATGCGGGACTTTTCCATATTTTTTGCATACTTTTTTTTTGTTTTGATATCGCTCTGTCTCTTAACCGATCAAATATCGCTGTGGTAGCAGCTTTACACTCGGTATGACCCAGGTTGATAGAGGGTGCCCAGTCTGGATCGCATTCCAGCATTTTGTAGGGTGGTTTTCCTACAAAACACAACAAACATTATCCCGCAAAGCCACAGTGAACGCAGCATAGGGTGGAAATTAGTGATGTGCGATACCACTTATTTCCTTTCCGATCCGATACCAAGTAATATTCAGGGTGGTATCGACGATACTAATCCGATACCGATACTTTGTACAAAAACTTATTTTATTTATTGTATCTCAAATTATAGCATCATAATGATTGCAGGACATCAGATTACTTGTTCTTATCACTTAATAATGCAGAGTTCATCATATAGAAATAAAAAACCTGAAGTTGTGCGCTATTTGAACACCTTGCCTGCCAGCAGGACTAAAGAACTCCGTGAGAGACATCTGTCTCGCCCTAGCAGCACCTGTCCCTGTCCTCCTCTTCAGTTCACCTCAACATACGCTCGTCATATTCTGTGATATGATTTACTCTGAGGTGTTTGACAAGGTTAGTGATGTTGCCACAACCATACATGCCAACCCTCCCGATTTTTCCCGGAGAATACCGAATTTCAGTGCCCCTCCTGGAGCCACCATTCTCCCAAATTTTTCCCGATTTTCCACCCGGACAACAAAATTGAAAAACCATATTGCAGAATTCATAGCGGGCCCAGCCAATTCCGGTTTCCAACAATGGCGGCAGCGACTTAGTTTTAATATTACTCTTATTTCTCTTTCTGGGTCGCAAAAAAACTTTTAACATATTTTCAGGTGAGAATGTAGCTGTGTAAACTTCAAATATCTGAGCCAATCGACACATCGTTTTCAAACCCCCGCGGTCTTTCACCACTCGGGTTAATATATATATATAAGTCACTTTGATAACTTAAAAATGTTATTGTTTGGCTTTTTCAGTGTTTTATTTGTTAGTGAGTAAATCGGTTTGGCTGAGATTAAAGTTATTAGATTAAATTAAATTAAATCTAACTTTACTAATCCCTCGGGAAGGTTCCACCGGGGCTACACAGCTGAATAAACGTCAAACAGAAAATGATTAAACAGAAGAGTTTACGTCAGTGCCCGGTTATATTTTAGATAGCAAGGAGCAGACGGCAGCGTTTCACTCCACCGAGGGAGCTCGTGACGTACTATGGTATATGGCCTGTATTTGTATAGCGCTTTTACTAGTCCCCCCTAGGGACCCCAAAGCGCTTTACACACCCAGTCATCCACCCATTCACACACTGGTGGAGGCAAGCTACAGTTGTAGCCACAGCTGCCCTGGGGCAGACTGACAGAAGCGAGGCTGCCATATCGTGCCATCTGCTATCGTGCCTTCTGGCCAACACCAGTAGGCAGTAGGTGAAGTGTCTTGCCCAAGGACACAACGACCGAGACTGTCCGAGCCGGGGCTCGAACCGGCAACCTTCCCATTACAAGGCAAACTCCCAACTCTTGAGCCATGATCGCTCTACCCAGCTTTCTTTAGACCACGAAGGCCGGGTCCTCAGGTGGAAGCAGCCTCTGAATTTGGACACCCCAGCTGTTTCCGGGCCGGCCAATAATAACGGTGACATTTAACGTATTTTATCCGATAAATAAACCCTGTAAAATGTATTTATCACCCCCCCAACAGCTCTTTTGAATGTCTCCCTAGTACGGCCACAACACCTCACTCTTGGAGCACTTTTTTGCCGCATGTATGGCAAACCACGTCTCAGCTGTTTGTGAAGGTAAAATACGTCCGCACAATTACAATCAGCAATTGTGAGTGCGCACGCCAAGGGGCTGCGAGACATTTATGCCGCTGTATTTCGCACATGACTTTGAAAGGCGGAAGAGGAAGTAGTTCCTTTGAATGTAGATAATCCGAATGTTATAGTTTCTTTCCACTGTTTTCCTGTTAATGATAAACTACAAATTTACTCTAAATTACTAAAATATCGATATTTTAATGTGAGAATCGATTCTAGAACATAAATGATTGGTATCGGAGGAATCGATATTTCAGGATCGATCCGCACATCACTAGTGGAAATGCTTGGAGCAGACTAACATGTAAGCTGGAGTGTTCTGGAACGTTATATTTGGTCT